CTCCACCTCCTGTGTTCAGGCGATTCTCCAGCCCTCAGCCTCCCGAGTAGCTGGGATTACAGGTGCACACCACCAGCCCTGGGTAATTTTTGTATCTTTAGTAGAGACCGGGATTTCACCATGTTGGCCAGGATGGTCTTGAATTCCTAACCTCAGGTGGTCTGCTCCAGCCTTGGCCTCCCAGAATGCTGGGATTACAGGCGTGAGCCACCGCACCCAGGCACTCTAAGGGTTTTGAATAAATCCTTTCTTAAAGCTTTCTGACCGGTGGCTCTTGTCTCCGCCCAGTCGTAGGCACTGGCCGCTGACATGCTGAGGACTCGTGGCTGAGGCCTGGGCGCCCTGCTGCTCCAGGCCGCGCTGGAGCCCACGGGCCGGGAGACGGGCGTGCAGGTGTACAACAGCCTCACTGGAAGGAAGGAACCCCTAATCGTGGCGCACACCGAAGCCGCCTCCTGGTGGGCCGCGCGGGACTGGGGCACGGGCGGGGACCGAGCGTGGTGGAGACTTCCCACAGCTGAACGGGATCTGGTCTCGGGGAGGGCGTCGTTCTAGAAGCTGGGAATGCGCAGTGGATTTGCAGGTTTGGGTATGAATTGAACAAGTATGATAAACCTCGGCTATTCATCCCCCAGAAGTGGTTACTTTTAAAATTATATGATAATTATAACTGAGAATCGAAAGTCCTTTCTTGCAAGTATGTTCCACACGATGGATTTTAACTTTTTTTTCAGGTATAGCTGCGGACCAACTGTATATGATCATGCGCACCTTGGCCATGCTTGGTGAGTTTCCTGGATTTGAATTTTCAAAGGACCATTTATTTTTGAAAGCCTTTTGCTGATTTATTTTATCTCTTAAGTGGCAACTTAGGGATGTAGAATAATTCCTACATTCCAGGCATTGTGGGAGATGTTACAACCTCGTTTGGTTCTTACAGTGATTCTGAGCACTTACGCTCATTTTACAGGTGAGGAAACTCAGGGAGGCAATGTGGAGCGCTGTAAAATGACCCGTTTTGAAACTAGATGTTTTTTGCTGGGTTTGGTGACATCAAGAGGCCTTTGCGGGGTCCCAGGGTCCTGCTGGTCAGTCATTCCTGGGCCCCACCACTTCTTAGCTTTTCAGCACTGGGCAAGCCACTTTATTGCTTTGAGTCCTGGTTTCTTCATCTTTGTGATGGGAATGATAATTTGGATCTTATAACAATTTTAGTAAATAATGCCCATAAAATGCTGCTTAACACAGTACCTCACATGTGAGATGTCACAGGGCTCAGTAGTGATTAACTTTCCTAAGAGTACACGTTGAGGAGGTATTGGAACTGGGGTGAGGCTTGGTTAACCTGACTGCCAAGTAGTTGATCTCTTAACCTCTTAATCATAAGATGTACTGCCTCCTACATTTGCCAAAATTACCACTTTTCCTAATATTTTGTATATTTACAAATATAGTGTACAAAAATTACATATTGTAGATTTTTTAAAACTTAGTATTGTTCAGTCCTAGATTAAAAGTAAAAAGTTACATTTACTCTGTATACTTTTGTTTTTCTTTTTTTGAGACGGAGTCTCTCTCTGTTGCCCAGGCTGGAGTGCAGTGGTGCAATCTCGGCTCACTGCAGCCTCCGCCTCCCAGGTCCAATTGCCGCCTCCTGGCAGCAATTCTCTTGCCTCAGCCTCCGGAGTTGCTGGGATTACAGTCATGTACCACCATGCCCAGCTAATTTTTGTGTTTTTAGTAGAGACGGGGTTTCAACATGTCAGCCAGGCTGGTCTTGAACTCCCGACCTCAAATGATTCACGTGCCTTGGCCTCTCAAAGTGTTGGGATTACAGGCATGAACCACCGTGCCCAGCTTACTCTGTGTCCTTTATATATATATATGTGTGTGTGTGTGTGTGTGTATATATATATATCACGGAGCAAGATCGGAGCCTTTTTTTTGTGTTTTCTTATAACAAAAATAAAATCATCTAAGAGTCATTTTTCCCCTTTACTTTGGGCTAACATACTGTTAATTATCAAAAGCATATTTCGACATCTTTCTTGAATTATAAAATATGTTGGGGAAATGTTAAAAACAAAACCCCCATCCTGGAAAACCTTTCCACAAAGGTAGAAGAGAAAGAAAAGAGAAAGAAAACAGTTCTGTTACTTGAATAAGCCTTAAACCAGAAGGGGATGAGCTAAAATAACTGCAGAGACAGAAAGAAATCTCATTCTTCTATAGAGCTTTGAGGACACAACCTGTCTCAGTCTATGAGTCTGCTATAACAAAATATCCTAAAATGAATGACTTATAAATAATAGAAATTTCTTTCTTTTTGGGGCTGGAAGTCCAAGATAAAGGCACCAGCAAATTTAGTGTCTGGTGAGGGTCTGCCTGCTGTGTCCTCACATGGTAGAAGGTAGAGGGAATTCTCTGAGGTCTCTTCTGTAAGGGAATTAACCCCTGTCATGAGCTCTCTGCTGCCATGACTTCATCACTCCCATAAGCTCCACCTCCTAAAACCATCACCTTGGGGGTTAGGGTTTCAACCATGAATTTGGAGTGAAGACAAACATTCAGACCACAGCATAACCCATTGCTTCAGCTGAGTTACAGAGTGGAGTCAGATGACAAGGTAGGCCCATCTCCTCCCAGGACACTGGGAAATGGGGCATTATTTTCCTTGATTACATTTCAGAGGTGGGTCCCAGGTTTTGAAATTTTCTTGGGTTGTAAAACTGCCAAGAGGTTTATTTAGCCATTTAAAAGATTGACATGCATTTGAAGAGGACTGAGGAAGAAATCCTAAAAGTTGTTGGGGAGAGACTCTCTTCTCATTTCCAACTAGGATAATCAAGTCTTGCAGTGTTAATTTGTATAATATTTACCTTTATGAATACAGAAATGAATACACGTCTCCAGTGCGCAGCTGAATACCTGTTATAAGCTGTGTCCACACAGGGCCTTCCCAGGGGCTGGTGGGAGCTGGGACTCTCCCCTTGACCACCTTGCTGTCAGCCTGGCCAACCCCTCCAGGCCTTCGCTGGGCTGACCTGCCCCACCTCCCTCTCCCCGTCTCAGCTCTCCTAGCATTGTACTCCTTCAGTGGTTATTTATGCAACCATCTGACGTCGCTAGCATGATCTAATTATTTCAGCTCCAGCAGGGCAGGAATCCACACGGTGCCTGCGGCAGAAAGGTAGTATTTGAGCAATGGGTAGGACTCAGTTCACTGGAAAGAGACACCCTGAAAAATAGCCTCCACCATTTCCAGAAGAGGTCAGAGGGATGGAAACCCTGTTTGGGGAAAACAAATAGACCAGTTTGGTGCCAGTGGGGAGGAGCAAGGGAAGGGATGGGGCGTCAGTTGCAGCCAGACTGGGGAGGGTGCTGCGTGGTCTGGCCCAGAGAGTTTGGATTTCACGCCACGGTAGATGGAGTCACCCTGGAGCATTTTGAGGGAAGACTCTTAGCCAATGAATCATTTCAGCAATCACCCAGATGAGCGCACTGGGTTCACCCAGTGGATGGAAAAAACGGGGCAGAAAGAGTCGGGCTAATGGTCTCATGGTTCATGGTGGAGTCACAGAAGCAAGTAGAGGTCTCCTGATGCCATGTTCTTCTGACTCGGCTGCCCGGCACTTGCAAGGGGTGTGTGTGCGTGTTTGTGTATAGAGTGGCCCCTGTGGTCACAGCCTGTCTGCACGTCTCAGGGTCTCAAGTTGCTCATGGCCCTGCATTCTGCCAGCTCTGCCAAGCTGTGGAGCCTCTGCTGTCTCCAAGGGCAGCTCCGGGACTCAGCCTGGGCTCCTCTGGGCCAAGCAAGGGACTTGACTCTTGTTTTCATTTGCTTTAGGTTCCTGTAATTTTTTCTTGTAAATCTCACATCTTTAAGAGTCTTTCCCAACTTGAGGGGAATGAAGAGCATGGTGATGAGAATGGTAATAATAGCTTGTGCTTTTAGAATTCATGCTGCACAGGCAGTAAGACTGGACAGCAGTCCTGTGGGGTGGTGGGACTTTGCCCAATTTATAAGCAAGCAGACTGAGCTGTCAGAGGTTAATTATCTTGTTGAGGAGTTTTGGAGATAGTTTTGTCCCTGGAATCAAGATTTGGTCTCAGCTGTGTTTGGGGAGGGGGCGTGTGGGAGGTGAAAGTGATACAATAACATGGCTAGGATTCCCGCACACCACCCTAAGAGAAAACAATTCTATGAACTAAAATTTAGAGAGGCCACATGGGTAGCAGAGGTGAGCGTGACATTAGATAACCTTGAGTTTTAAGGTTACTTTTATGGGAAAACAGATGCTTGTGATGCTAAGTAGATTTTAAACCCTTTTAGTTTTACGAGTCTGAGTTACCCCAGTGTAGTATATAAATAAGCTGGCATTTTAAAATATCCTACACTAGTGTATGCATTCTTAGGAGTAATCTTATATGGTTTCAATGGAATTGTATTTGTTTTGATTTGGTATTTGCTTCTGTCTGTTTTGTCATAGTGAAAAATTAGAATTACTCTAAACATGAACAAGAATGGTGAAAACACTGTCTTAACTGGGAGATTGTATTATGAGTGAATTTTTATACAATTAAATAGACTTAAACTCTCTTAACAAGTCCAAAATTAAAAATGCTAATATTGTGTCCTGAAATGGATGCAATACCTTTGTCAGTGTCTCCTGAGAACCCTTGCGGCCCAGGCCCTGGTGTCATCAGTGAGAGAGAGTTTCCTTGTACTTGCTCCGCTGAGCTGTCCATTGTGTTACACAGTGGAAGTTATGAAGCAGCATGTTAAAATGTAATGGATTTTTTACAAAGATAACTGAGGACTTTGTGTGTGAAAGACATCCTGACACTTTTTTTCTTTCAGCTCGTATGTTAGATTTGATATCATTCGAAGGATCCTAACCAAGGTTTTTGGATGCAACATAGTCATGGTGATGGGTATTACAGATGTAGATGATAAAATCATCAAAAGAGCCAATGAGGTAAGTGGAGAAGAGCTACGTTTATTGATAATGCCATTGGTTAGTGTTCTGAGCCCTTCCTGAAAGTGGTTCTTGTCCGGGCGTGGTGGCTCACGCCTGTAATCCCAGCACTTTGGGAGGCCAAGACTGGTGGATCACTTGAGGTCAGGAGTTTGAGACCAGCCTGTCCAACGTGGTGAAACGCTGTCTCTACTAAAAATACAAAAATTAGCCAGGTGTGGTGGCAGGCTCCTGTGATCCCAGCTCCTCAGGAGGCTGAGGCAGGAGAATCACTTGACCCTGGGAGGCGAGGGTTGCAGTGAGCAGAGATTATGCCTCTGCACTCCAGCCTGGGTGACAGAGACTCTGTCAGAAAAAAAAAAAAAAAAGAAGGTGCTTCTTGTTTGCGTTTTACAAGTAGTTCTCACATCTTACTGTCCATGTGTGGCCAGCGGGTGTAATCTGAGACATGAAAGAGTGGTGGCTCACCAGGGCATCTTTGGTGTCCTAGTAAAGGAAGTTAACATCTATCGTATTGTGTATTGTGATCGCTGAAGCCTTTTCTGTGGCCTTGTGTCATTACCTCCTTCTGTGGTCATCTGGCTCGAATCTTACTCCCTCCCCTGGCCCCTCAGCCTCCAAGGGAAATGACTTGACTTTCTCTTTACTGAGGGAACCAGGACCACTGTTTGGACATACTCATATTTGTGCTAATGATGCCTTTCATGTCTGTGTCTTTATAGTTTAAAAAGTACTTTTTGTATCTATTTCTATTTCAGTCTCAGAACAACCCTGTGTGCTGCGCAGAGCAGACCTTACTGTGCTTTTTTAAACACATTTTATTCCGTATTAAAAAAGTATTTGAAGTGATTTGAGATCTACAGAAGAATGACAAGAATAGTACAGAGATCTCCTGCCGCCACCCTGGGTTTCCTCGTGGCCATTGTTGCGCTGCGTTGGGCCATCATCTCTCTGTTCTAGACTTTTCCCACCAGGCCGCCCTGCCTCTCTGCACACGCCATGCAGGCCTTCAGAGCAAGGTCACTGGCTCTCGAGGCTCGCACAGCCCTTCCAGCCCTCCCAGTCAGGAACCGGACATCGATGCAGTGTGCTGGTGTGGGTAACATGGATGTCAACCCACGGGTGTAGTCCCTGTCCCCCAGCGCCTCTTTCTTTTCTGTCCCAGAACCCGTTCCAGAGTCCTGTTGTCTCCTCGGTCTCCTTCAGTCTTCAGTGGTTCCCTGTCTCATGTCCTTGGCAGTGTCAAGGATTATAGGACTTTGATTTTGTAGGTGGCCCTCCACTCAGGTTCACTGGATGTGTCCCCATCTTGAAGAAGAGTCAAGAGGTTAAGGTGATCGCATCTTGAGGTTGCACAGACCTTCAGGGGCAGGACTGCTCCCAGGGCTCTGACTTCAGCTATCTCCGGGCAAGTCCCCCTGTCAGGTGGGAATGGCCTGCACGTTTGTGGCGGGTAGCAGAAGTCTCTTTCCCGTGCAGGCTGCGGCCCCACTGGAGTCTGGCCCACACCTGGAGTGTGGCGCCCGGCAGGCTTTGGGAAGACACAGTGGATGAAGTTGTACAGGTAGGTGAGACATTGGAGGCGCCTCCTCAGGCTCTCCCTGATGGCCGGGGGCCAGTGCCCCGCACATCACTTCTACCAGAAGAGCTTTGGTGGGTCCTTTGGCTTTACCTGCTGGTGAGGAAGACTTTTCCTAAAGAAGCCGTTCTGATGAAACGCTGTCGCTATTTGCCGCACGTGCTGTCTTGCGTCGTCTGTCTCCATTGTGGGTGCTTCTAATCACCATTCTCTCTGGACATTTTTGCCCATTTTCACAACTCAATGTGGTTTAGCATACAAGACAGTCTGTTCATTTGTGTGTTAGTTAGGATGACTGTTCCCTTTTCCTGAATCTGATGAAGGAATTTAAGTAAAGCTGACCTAATTTTGATGTGAACAGTTATCCTAGACGAATTGTAGTCTTGTGATGACCTTTGCCAGTTAGCACTGCTTTTACCAGCATTTGTTACAGTGGAAATGTTCTAACGTACGTGAAGTAGAGAGAAGAGCATATGAACCATGCACCTGTCACTGACGTCCATGGTCAGCACCTGTTCCACCCCGTTCTCTCTGCTTTTTGTGCAGATCACCTGTGGAGTGTCCAGTGGTGGGCTGCTGTTTGGCAGTTTAACACTCCAAGAGCAGATTTTTCCATTTCGTTTTCCAATGTGGTGCTTTTCTGAAGTCTGGCTAATTAGACGGTGTTTGTCTTAGTCTGTTTTGTGCTGCTATAACAGAACACCACAGACTGGGTAGTTTATAATGAATAGAAATATATTTGCTCAGTATGCTGGAGGCTGGAACACTAAGATGAAGGTGCCAGCATCTGGCAAGGGCCCTCTTACTGCATCTTCCCATGGTGGAGGGCAGGAGGTCAAGGGGAGAGAGAGAACCCCTGCCAAAAGCCCCCTGCCCCCACCCCTCCTTTGGTTTTTCTTTTTTTTTTTTGGAGACAGGATCACACTGTCGCCTAGGCTGGAGTGCAGTGGTGTGGTCATAGCACAGTGCGGCCTTGATCTCCTGGGCTCAAGCAATTCTCCCATCTCAGCCCTCCTAGTAGCTGGGACTCAGCTGTGCACCACCACACCTGACTAGTTTTTTTTTTCTTTCTTTTTGTTTCTATTTTTAGTAGAGATGAGGTTTCACTGTGTTGCCCAGGCTGGTCTCAAACTCCTGAGCTCAAGCAATCCTCCTGCCTCCGCCTCCCAAAGTGCTAGAATTACAGATGTGAGCCACTGCACCTGGCCGGAAAGCCCTTTTAAGAAGGCATTAAGCCCATCCAAGAGGGTGGGGCCCTCAGGCCTAATCACTTCTTCAAGTTCTCACCTCTTAATACTGTTACAAGGGCAAATCAATTTCAACATGAATGTTTGACAAACATTCAAACCATAGCAGTATTTCTGGTGGTTTTTAAAAAGAACTTGCTGGGTTTTTTTTTGTTTGTTTTTTTTTTTTGAGACAGAATTTTATTCTTGTCGCACAAGCTGGAGTGCAGTGGTGTGATCTCGTCTCACTGCAACCTCCACCTCCTGGGATCAAGTGACTCTCCTGCCTCAGCCTCCTGAGTAGCTGGGATTACAGACACCCACCACCGTGCCTGGCTAATTTTTGTATTTTTAGTAGAATGAGGTTTCGTTGGCCAAGCTGGTCTCGAACTCCTGACCTCAGGTGATCCGCCCTCTTTGGCCTCCCAAAGTACTGGGATTATAGATGTGAGCCACCACACCCGGCCTGGATTTCTTTTTTTGAAAAAAAATTTACATATGAATTATAGCATTTGTCTGTCATTGTGGCTTCCCTTCCTCTTTAACCTCCTGTCACACCCATGCGTCTTCCTTTTGTGAAATGGGATGGAACTAGTGACTAAAGATTTGGATTAGAAGTCAGAAGCCGCCTTTGGGCTGGGGCGTTTATCTGAAAGGAGGCTGAACTTTGTCATTTGTTGAGTGAACAGAGCCTTCTCTTGTCTCTTAGGCATGAGTCAGAGGAATGGTGTGAGGTCCTTGGGGAACATTTTCACTGAGGTCGCTGTCTTCCTATTTTCTACTGATGTGTCTTTCTTATCACTGGGTAGTCTCCCACCGTGTGGGACTGTTTAGCAGTTCCAGCCTTTTCCTAGTTGCTATTTGTATTGCTTCTGGCTGTTAAAAAGAGTGCTGCTATGAACATACATGCTTTTGTTTCGTTTTCTTATATTTCCTGTGGCTGGGCGCAGTGGCTCACGCCTGTAATCCCTGTACTTTGGGAGGCTGGATCACTTAAGCCCAGGAGTTTGAGACCAGTCTGGCCAACATGGCAAAACCCTGTCTCTACTAAAATACAAAAAATTAGTTGGGTGTGGAGGTGTGCACCTGTATTCCCAGCTACTCGAGAGGCTGAGACACGAGAATCGCTTGAACCCGGGAGGTGGAGGTTGCAGTGAGCTGAGATCATGCCACTGCACTCCAGCCTGGGCCACAGGGTGAGACTCTGTCTCTAAATAAAAAGTTAATTTTCCAAAGCGAAATTGCTAGGTCAAAGGGGAAACAGTTTATTTGATATCTTGCAACTGAGAGTCAGATCATTTGAGAGACTGGCAGTGCTGGAAGTCGGCTCCCACTTTAAACGTATTTCTTCACATCCTTACCCCCAGCCTGTAAGAATCTGGTAGGCTGCATTTAGAAGGCAAGTGCGTGATGTCTAAGGCTGTGCGTGAATGCACAGTCACCAGGTAACCCTCAGCAGAGGTGGTGTTTGGAAATGCCCCGCTGGTAAAGAAGGAAGGTCAGCGGTTCAGGGCTTTCGCCTGCCGTCGGGACAACCAGGGCCTGAAGCAAAGGCACTTGGTAGCTTCGTGCCTCTCATGCATCTTCAAGATCGGAAAGAATTGTGTCAGTCCCCGTGTCCTGGTGGCAGGGAGCTGGTAGAGGCTGAGACACCGGCTGAGTTCTGGAGGGAGCCCCGTGGGACAGAGAGGGGGCCCCGCAGGGGATGGGAGGAGAGGTGAGGACTCAGTGTACTCGAGGGTGTCATGGGGGCGATGGGGAAGGTGAGGCAGGAACATTGCCATCAGAGAAGTGGGACAAGAGCCCTGAATCCAGGGAGGAGAGAACGCAGGAAGGAGGAGGTGGCCAGCTTGGTAAAGGGAGGAAGAGGCAAGAGTTAATTTTACAGATGCCATGAAGAGGGATTGGTTGTTAACTTTTTAAAAAATGTTATGATTAGAATATGAAAAACTTGGTAGAATTGGTGTAAACATTCTAACTGTAGAGAGTATTTAATTTTTGAACCAGAGAATTTCCATACTTGGTACACAGCAAGATCCTAAGATGGTATTGAATAGTTTCTTTCCTTAAAATAACGTCTGACTTCAATGTAATAAAACATGTATCTGAAACCCATAGTTATGAAAACTTCTGTTTTTTAGTATTTAGTGAAAAGGTAATTCTTTAAGAAATGCAGATCAAAACCACAATGAGAT